TTGGGGTTTTGGGTTGGACTGCGTAAGCGACAGAAGTTCGTTCAGGGTTGTGAAACCAGGGTTTAGGGTTGAGGGTTTAGGGTTTAGGGTTTAGGGTTTAGGGTTTGTCTTCTGCTAGGAAGGAAGCAGCAGCGGGAGAGGGGCCCCTGGCTGCAAACCCTAAACCCTAAACCCTAAACCCTAAACCCTAAACCCTAGAAGAATGTGTAAACCCTAAATCGAATACCTTAATTTAAACTCAGAGTGTACGATATATATAAACTCCTAGGGTTTAGGGTTTAGGGTTTAGGGTTTAGGGTTTAGGGTTTAGGGTTTCTAGAAGGCAGCAACTGGGCTGGGGGGACTGGCTGCGGTGTCGGCTGCGCTAAACCCTAAACCCTAAACCCTAAACCCTAAACCCTAAACCCTAAAAAGTTGTAATGGATTTTGTTCTGCTTTGCTTAAAAACTTCCTCGCACATATATAACCCCCTCTGGCGGTTTAGGGTTTAGGGTTTAGGGTTTAGGGTTTAGGGTTTAGGGTTTGCCACTGCACCTACGGCTTACTCGAGATAAACCCTAATCCCTAAACCCTCATAAACCCTAGACCCTAAACCCTAAAAGCTAAACCCTAAACCCTAAACCCTAAACCCTCATGCGTTTACTCTCCCTAGAGAGAAGTGTACAGTAGCGAGGGTTTCACTCTGCTGAACCCGCCCCCCCCCAAACCCTCATAAACCCTAAACCCTAAACCCTAAACCCTAGCCGCTAAACTGACGCCTGTACCCTCAACCCCTCCGCTCCACCCCTAAACCCTAAACCCTAAACCCTAAACCCTAGCCGCTAAACCCTAGCCGATTGACCCGTTCCCCCCTAAACCCTAAACCCTAAACCCCCCACCTCTTCCCCCAACCCCTAAACCCTAAACCCTAAACCCTAAACCCTAAACCCTAAGATGTGGTACGGGTGCAGCGTGGTTCACCGTTCCCCTTTGCTGCGGCGGTTTGTGGTTCGGCGGTTTTCTTTGTCTTGGTGCTTCGTGCTGCTGCTGCGGCTCCTCCTTCTGCTGCTGCCTCTCTCTCTAGCTCTCTCCAAACACGGTCAGCACACACACACAGCTAGCTAGCTAGCTAGCTAGCTAGCTAGCTAGCTAGACAGGGGGCTAGCTAGATAGATAGCTAGCTAGCTAGACAGGGGGCTAGCTAGAGAGGCACGGAGATAGTGAAGCAAGAGCTGGCTAGAGGGGATCGCTAGCTAGCTAGCTAGCTAGCTAGCTAGCTAGCTAGCAGGAAAGATAGATAGCTAGATAGATAGCCAGCTATATAGCTAGCTAGCTAGCTAGCTAGCTAGCTAGCTAACTGGGCAGCTAGCTGCTAACAGGGGAGAACACCACCCGAGCTAGCTGCACTCACCTGCTGCAAGCAGCAGCTCCTGGGGCCCAAAACCCTTCTCTGCAGCTAGCTAGCTGGCTAGCTAGCTGGCTAGATAGCTAGCTAGCTAGCTGGCTAGATAGCTAGCTAGCTAGCTACCTGGCTAGCTACAGAGCTAGCTAGCTAGCTAGCTAGCTAGCTAGCTAGCT